AACACCCACCAAAGGCAATGCGAGTAAAGATCTAGTGTTACAACATGGCACAGCTGAAAATTATATAAGAATTTAATTTCGTGAAGTAGATACACAAAGACATCTATTCTAAAAAATATTCTATGAATAGTTCCAATAATTGATAAAATGTCACAATACAGGTATAAATGATATAATTCAGACTTTACAATATATAAGCCTGAACAAGAACACATTGGTAGCTTTGCATAATCTTTATCAATGAGGTTTTCTACAAATAACAAAGTAGCTCAGAAAAAAAGGACTCCAGCTTTCAAATCCAAACCAAATTCACTGCCACAGAGTCCATTCCGACTCCCAGCAGTCCCCGGGCCTGAGGAGAACCACCTCCGAGGGTTTCTGAGACTGTAATGTTTTATGTAAGTAGAAAGCCCCACTCTTCTCCTGCAGAATGACTGGTGGGTTCTAGCTGCTGACCGTGTGGGTAAGCAGCTCAAACAAGCGTGTAACTGCGATGTTTCCAGGGACCCAGTAGTATTTCTCACTTGAGCCTCAGATCTGTTACTTGCATTATATTTAGTGGAGTTTTTCAAAACAGTTTTACCTGAGTGACTTTCTCAAAACATCTTCAATTCAAAAACAAAATAATCCACATATAAATATAATAATTATGAGAAGCCCTTTTAACTATGTCAGGTTAATAAAGATTACAAAGATAATGAAGGAGAAATGTTTATATGATTGTAAAACCTTCCCCTCTCTAGGAAGAGATACTTGGAGTTATTTTCAACATCTTTGACTCAAAGTTCATTTTATTCTCTATCCCTCATGGAGTAGTGGTTATTATGGGCTACAATACCCAAGGCCAGCAGTTCAAAACCACCAACGCTCCATGGGTGAAAAGACAGCACTTTCTACTCTTGTAATTGAGTGCCAGTCTCGGAAACTCACAAAGGCAGTTCCACTTTATCCTCCAGGGTTGCTGTGCCCCAACTTCGACTCCATGGCAGCGAGTTTGGTTTTTCAAACCCCCAGGCCCCACGAGGGGCACCGTGGAGTGCAGTGGTTTCAAACTGGGCTGCTAACTGCAAAGACAGTTAGCTCGAAATCACCTGATGCTCTGTGGGAAGTTTTCCATTCCCATTAACAAGTTAAAGTTCTGTCCTGTCCTGTCAGGTCACTAGGAGAGGGCATCATCGCGATGGCAGTTCATTTTGAAATCCCCTGTACAAGCAGAGCACAGCTGATGAGCTGGAGGTACGGATAATTACTTCTCTTTTTTTTTCTGTTTAGGAAGAGGGGTCTTGTCCCTAGGGTATTTATTATCATTTATTAATTCATTAACTTCTTTCTTTCCATTGCTATTGACAGTGATTATTGTATGTAAGGCTATCTTGACTGCAACTATAATTTCTGTGTCTTAATTTCAACGAGTTACCATTTAATGTTGTCTTCCATAACTCTTCTTTTTTTTAAGTTTTATTGGCATATAATTCACGTCATATAATTCAGTAGTTTGATAACATCAAGAGAAGCCATACAATCATCACCCCAGGTTTAGAACATCATCTTCATTCTTGTTTCATAATTAGCTTCCCATTTCCCACCAATCTCCCCTGCCATACCAACCAACAAACCATTAATCCAGTTCCTGCTTCTATAGATTTACTTATTCTGGATTTCAGAAACAAAAAAACATTTAAAAACTAATAAGAATAACAAAAAACAAAAAATTTCAATAGAAGAGAAAGCAGAGGATAATTAAAAACTAGCACAAATTTAAATGGATCATAAGGGAGATAAAATGATAGGGTGCGAAATTTTAACCTAACTGCATCTGCAACAGCCCACTATCCAATACATTCTGCATGTTGGCAAGGCAATTCACATGCATGGCCCATAATCAGAGGGGATTCACCAAGGTCTTGATCCCATGTGTATTTCCCCTTCACTATAAAAAAAACCAAAAACCGAAACAGGTTTAAAATGGGTCAAAAGGCAGATCAAACTTTCATAACTTTTCTACTGAAGATAAGGCAAATAAAATATCTTTAATGTAAGAGAAGATGAAAAGGACTGTCCTTAATAATAATTCTGCATAACTGATGGTATCCATATCACTGCCAAGGGAAATAAAAATGAAGAAGAAAACCTAATTCCAAAGGATTACATATTTATAGTAAAGAAGAGCAGTAAAAGTCATGCAAAGAAATAACAGAAAACCCACCACACACTGATGCCAATGCTGATTACCGTATATACTCGTGTATAAGCAAGTTTTTTTCAGCACATTTTTAATGCAGTTTTTGTGGTAAAATTAGATGCCTCAGCTGATATTCAGGACGGCTTATACTCGAGCATATATGGTAATTCTAAACCTCAAAATAAAATCTGTTCAATATTTTTTACCTTTTAAGTCATTAGGCAAAATGAAAATTCAGGTCCACATTCTATTATTACAATTACAAATGGAATTGTACTTTATACCCTATGTCCTAACTCTGCTGCCAAATGAAATGCATTACTTTAAAAAATAATGTTTTAAAATGGTTTTTTTTAATGTCAATAATATAAGCTTCTCTGACTAAATATATAATACAAACCTCTAAGTGAATAAGGCTGTATTATCAAAGACACAAACAAAATTAAAAAAAACCCTACTAGTAAAAAAAAAAAAAACCCTACTAGTAAAAAAAAAACAACCTACTAGTAGGTAATTCAATTTTGGTGTTTCTTTAATATATACACACCAACACATTCATACTCATACCTACACACAAAACAATAAAATAACACCACAGAAAAACACCTCCAAATCAATAAACACTGCCCTCAAATACTACTTCTTACTAGTTTGAATTTACTATGGTCTGATGTTTCCCCAGAGATCCGTAGTTTCTTCCTGACTTTGTCTCCATACTACACATTAGAAAGGCATTACTGTAAAACCAAGTCAAGCACGCTATCATTTCCTTAGCAGGTGTAGTCTTTTCAGTATGCTTTCATTCAATTTTTGAAATGTCATAATACTTCATGCCACCTTTCTGAAAATTGGGGGATCAAAAAACAAGAATAAATATTGTAAGTCAGTCCAAATATATAATCAGGTCATAGTTTGGGGAGCTATAGTAACAGGCACCACACTCCAAGGCAAAGGATGAATGAATGGCTGTTATTATTATAACATAGGAATGACAAAGCTATAAATTTATAAATGGTCTTAAAGATACAGTATCAAATTTAATGAGGAATACCTTTAATTAGATGATCATGATTTCATTTGAAAAAAAGAAAAAGTACTCTACTCTGCCACTCCAAGGTATTTTATCACCATTAACTATTAGCAAGCTTTTCTACAGGGTAACGATATGGTCTCCTTTAACTCTTATTATGCAATAACGACTCTGCATCAGGAATTAAGGTACGCTTGGTTTACAGAACACTCCCTCTATCCAAAAAAACACTGAAAGAAATCCCTTCAAGTAGCCATCACAGATTATAAGAGGAAATTGTTTTTAAATTGACTGGAGAAATATGGAAAATAGGTAATGCTAAAATAAATCCAATAGAAAATATTGGTAATACTGGCATATAAGCAGCTTAAATATTAAGGATTAGAGAGACTGACAGTATACTGAATAATAATAAAAGAAGTAGAATAATAAGTTAAAAATAATATAACTGAGGCAAAGTCTTTTTTCCTCTTAAGGCCAAATGTTGGTAACTGAAGGCACAGAAATGCTTTTCAGAGCTTTCTTCCCAGTCGTCACACAATCCTCACTCTCCCAGAGGCAGTAAGCACTAGAACCCCACCTACCATACATCAAGAACCTTGTGAGCAGACTTTCAATCTCATTATTTCCCACTTCACCCCAGCTTCCCACTGCCATGGAGTCAAGTCTAACTCTGGGCAGGGTAGACTGTAACTGTTGTGGGACTGAGTAGAAAGCCTCATCTTGCTCCTGTGCAGCAACTGGTGGTTTTGAACAGCTGGCCTTGGGGTTAGCGACCCAATGTGCCATTCACTATTCCACCAGGGCTCCAGCTGCCAATTTAATGCCAACTCACGCCACACAACTCACGTGTCAGAGTAGAACCACTCCACAAGAGTTTCAGGGCTGTGTGACTTTCAGAAAGCAGACCAGGCCTGTCTTCTGAGACACCTGTTTTCTGGTGGGTTCATGTTGCCAACTGTCTAGCCAATCAGTGGTCAAGTGCTTAATCATTTGCTCCACTCATGATAGCACAGTATTTACAGAGAATTTGAAGGAATTTACATCCGATAAAGTCCAGCTATCAGGAGAGACCAGATGCTGCAAAGGGGCATCATGTCTGGTAAAGCAGAGGCCCCTTAATGAGATGAACTGATTCAGTGGTTGCAACAATGGCCTCTACCATAACAACTGCAAGGATGGCACAGGATTTGTTCTGTTGTACACAAGGTCACAATGGCTTAGAAGTGACTTGATGGCACTGAGCAATAAATTCCAGTACATACAATATGGATATCCTTATCGTCTTTAATCCTGACAAGATGTACCTATTTCCACTTTAGTGACTATTTCAGTTAAACTGATTACTAGTTGAAGCAGTAAGGAAAAAAAGAAACTATTTGCAATATAGGCTTATGTAACTGAAAGTTCCAGCAACTGAAGTTTTGGGGATCTGTGCTAGAAATCTAGGTCCCTACTGCCAACTAAATGTTGATCTTTGACAGCTGAATCACCTCAAAGCCTTCAGTGTTCTTCTTGTACAAAGTAAACGTCTAATTCATTAAAAGTTTACTTTCCTGATTCAAACTGTGGACCTATAGCTTACTAAGTTCAAACGATATTTACCTGACACACTGTGTTGCTGGTAATTGTAGGAAGATGGAATTGCACCAATAGGAAGCTGGGGCTTAGGGTTGCCTGGTGGTACCTCATCATCATCTTCCCCAAAATGATGGACCTTCTCGTACTTTTCTAGATAACTGAAACAGAAAAAACAGCACAGCAAAGTTTAAAAATAGATTTATGCCTCCTCAGGTTTTTAACCTCATGACATATATCTGCTCTTTCTTTGACAGATCCTCTACATAAAATAACAAACAAAAACTAACACAACAAAGCCCAAAACAGTAATTTCTGGGACAGTACTATAGGTAAACTAAATGTAATACTTCTCAAAATGTTTTTGTATTTTCAGAAAAGATCAAATGACTACTCAAATAAAAATATAAGAAAAGTAGGGAATAGCAAAGGACAACTCCATGTAGGTGAATGACAGTGCATCTGTTGATTTTTTAACCAGTTTGGCAAGATCATTGTAAATACCCAGTGGTTCTCAGCCTTCCTAATGGCGCAGACCCTTTAATACAGTTCATGTGGTAGTGACCCCCAACCATCACATTATTTTGGTTGCTACTTCATAACTGCAATTTTGCTACTGTTGTGAATCGTAATGTAAATATCTGATATGCAGGACATATTTTCATTGTCACAAATTAAACATAATTAAATCACAGTGATTAATCACAAAACAAGATGTAATCATATACTGTGAAATATTTATGTGTTTTCCCATGATCTTAGGCGACCCCTGTGAAAGGGTCATTTGACACCCAAAGGGGTCGAGATCTACAGGTTGAGAACTGCTGCTCTAATCTCTGGCCTCCCCAATCTCACTCACCAGAGATAAAGGACATATTCTATTTTTTATGCATATTTGCAAATAAAAATAGGCTATAAAGTACAAGCAAATACCATTCTATAAGTTGCATATTTATTCAACAACATATTTTAGAAATTTAACCCTGCCATTACATTCTACACTCATTCCTCTTTAATAACTGCAATAGTATTTGAGCCTATTGATACCTGGTGATATAATTAGCCAGATCTCTACAGTGATATATTCAGGCTGTTTTCTCAGTTATAATTTTTGCTATTACAAACCATGTGTCAGTAGACTTAATCTGGTTCACATTTGAATATTTTCTCAATAGAGACCTGGAAAAGGTCTGTTCGTTTTTAACAGTAAGTAATATGCACAAAATCACCAGGAATCAAGATGCCACCTAGGAAAGTGTTTCCTGCTCAAACTAAGCTCATAGGGAGAATTCAGAAAGGCTGGAAAGGGACATTTTAATGCTTTTCCAGGCTTACGGAGGTGAATTTTACTGTCCTGTAAACGTACAATGGGAAATGAAGAGTGATCATGTGATCACGTCGTCAGAGTTTTTGTGTCCCTCCAATGTAGCACCATCACTGGTGATTTTTTCTTTTTCTTTTTTACTGGTGATTTTAAAATGGGGAAATAATTTGTCAAATCGGTTTTGAATCTAACACTGTAATCAAACATACTTGTTACTGAACTTACAATAAAAAAGTTAAGCTGACTGATATACTGACTTGCAATTCACGTTTTAGGAGTATTATTCTACAGAGCTACTGTTCTGTTACTTAAGTGGTTACTAAGTCCTTTAGAAGCTATTTTTAAAACTTAATTGCAGCCATGATTCCATCTCCCTATTCACCAACCCTGTCCACTTTGCTTTTTTAAGTACAGATAACTGCAACAGGAGGTAGGATGGCCAATGATCATATAAGATGATTCCAGAAGTATTTTATTATTTTAGTAGCAATCTTAACTTTGAAGGTGGAATGAATGGGAGCTATAAATTTACAAATAAAAAAACTAATGATATGGAAAATCATTATTCTTCATTTTCCCGTTGTAGCTTTACATGACAAAATAACATCCTTAAACCTGGAAAATCATTAAATCGTCCTTTTCCATGACTACCAAATTCTCCCTATGAGCTTAGTTTGAGCAAGAAATGCTTTCCTAGGTGGCATTTTGATAGCTAATGAATTCAACACATTCCTTTACTGTTATAGACGCATAATACTAAAGCAGAGACATATGCACAGATGTAACCTTTGAGCATTGAAGTGGGTACACAGCTGCACACATTTCAACCTGAGCCTGGGGATATTCCCAAATGGAACTTACAGTCAGACAAACAAACATGATTAAAAAAGAAGGTCGTCCCTCTCCAATGGTATATACCGACAATGGACATCAATGGATAAATGAATCAAGTCCGTTCTTTTGGATAATTAATACATATACAATAGAAAACAGAGTATATATAAACTGAGACACAAAAAGCAAGCTAGACAAAGAGCTGCTCCAAAATGTTTCGTGACATCTTTTTGCCAATAAAGGATAATGTACGTCACCTGTGATGATTTTAGATAGGGCAGTCTCTCAGAATAAATTAAACTCACTGTGAAATGGTTATAAAAACAGATAAGACAGAAATAACTTTTAAACAATCTTCTCTAAATAGAATCCAAGTTATCACAATTATAATATCAAGATTCTTATAATTAAACAATATGTTTAACATGTTTTTTACACATGTGCTGTCCATAATTGAGCATAGTATGCTTTTTATTACTATTCTGGGAGAAGACCACATTACTAGTAAATAAAGACCATACATAATCTTCTTCCTTTCAGAAGATCCCAAATGGAATGTAAGTAGTTACGTGATGAACTGACAACACAAGTACTATAACAATAACAAAAGAACCCACAAACTCACTTCCATGGAGCCAATTCCGACTCAGGATGACAGTACAGGACGCAGTAGAACTGCCTCTTTAGGTTTCCAAGGCTGTAAACCTTTACAGAAACAGAAAGCCTCATCTTTTTCCTGAGGAGAAACTGGAGGGTTTGAACTGCTGACCTGTGTTTAGCAGTCCAACACATAACTCATTATACCACCAGGGTTCCCACAAGCACTAAAATAAACAGAATATATTTTCACTCAGTTAAAAACCTTGATCATTCTGTTTTTAAAAGATTTTTGAAACCAACTTCTGGTTTCTTGTGCTATACTAACTCTGCTTCTCCAAACATTTCCTCTGGACAATTCCAATCCACAAAAATATATGTTTTAGATTAATTGTTAAGATGTTTGAAATGTTTATTTCCTGCCTGAGGGTCAGTACTAGGTCTCACTGGCATCATTCAATATTTTCAAGGGAGAACTAACCTTCCTTAGTTCAACTAAGAAAGAACCCAATTCTGATCTTGTCTTTCTCAATAAATCAGCACAAAGTCTCTTTCTGGGAGATGATTAAAGCTAGAAACCTAAGATGTATAAACAGATGGGAGAGGGCACCTAAAATAACAAAGTTACGCTTCAGTGTTTTAGTTTGGTGATCTAATTCTTTATCATGACCTTGAGCTAACACACTGACAGACTGTTCACTCATAAAACTATAAAAGCACATTTCTTTGTCTTTCTTCTCAAAGTCAATGACATTTCGTTAACATATTAACAATTAACATATTAATCAAACAAGTATTTATTGAGCTCTCACTATAATTTGCCTGCTAAACTACATATCACCAATTGATTTGTTGAACTCATATTAGAGATCATACAGACCCACTTTCTTGAACCTTAATACAATTCAAAGAAATATTTTTTAGGAACTATACTAAACACTAGGAAAATTAAAAGTAACTTTTCAATAAGTAAAACTTCAAATCCATTTGTAAGAGTAGATTAGCAAAATACTATCTATTAATAAATAGCAATAATTGATAAATAGCAACTTGTGGCTATTTGTTTAATCTACACATCAATAGGTCTTCTTCACGAGCCTCTCATTATTTTGAAGTAATTCCGAGGTTATCATATAATTTCATCTGTAAATATTTCACATAATACTTGTAAATTAAAAGCACCATAAATAGTAACTGCTAATCATGAAAACCCTTAACCATTCTTGGATCAAAGACAACATTCAAATACGAATGCTACAGGAAAAGATAACAATTCAAAGCGCCATAAGCCCATAGTAAAAATAAAGGGTATCTGAATCAGCAGCAAATTTTTATAAAGTTTGCAACATTAAAAGCAACTTAAAAAAAATCCACAATTCATGAGGGGAGAAAGGGGGAACTGATCACAATGATCTACATATCATCCCCTCCCTGGGGGGGCGGACAACAGAAAAGTGGATGAAGGGAGACATTGGCCAGTATAAACATGAAAAAAACAATAACAACTTATAAATTATCAAGGGTGAGGGAAGGAGGGGGGAAAATGAGGAGCTGATACCAGAGGCTCAAGTAGAAAGAAAATGTCTTGAAAATGATGATGACAGCAAATGTACAAATGTGCTTGACACAATGGATATACGTATGTATTAAAAGCTGTATGAGCCCCCAATAAAATGATTTTTTAAATGAATAAATGAAATCGGATTACCACTTAAAAAAATCCACCATTTGGGTTTTTGTTAGCCACTAAGGATCTGTACAATTTGAGGGTGGTTCTAATGAAATCTAGACAATGACAACTATTACTAGAAAATGTATGAAAAGGTGGGTTGAACTAGGCTGTTTTCCAAGAAAGCAATACATATCCGAGAGCTTCAAAAACTTTGTGGAAAAATTCCATTATCCTTTAAATCCATTTTTCCACACTCTTTTTTGAAGGCCTCTTATACTTCAACTTGTAAATTTTTGCAAAAGGAGCCTCCAGACCCAATGGCTAAAGTCAGCAATGGGAAGCAACATTCACCAGTTTCATTAGGTAATAGGTAGGTCCCACACCTGTATGAAATTCCTTTGCCAAGATTGCACACACGCAAGCCGGAGCGCACATACATACACTTAAAAATATGAACTGACATTAAAGGGTTGATTTGACAAAATAGAAGCTGACATCAGTAAAGTGGAGGGCCAAGTTGAGAAACTTGTACAGAGACAAGAACTAATAAAAACAATTAGTACACAGAGGAGTCCTGGTGGGGCTCAATGGTTAAGAGCTTGGTGACCCACAAAAAGAATGGCAGTTTGAACCTAACAAGCTGCTAAGTGGGAAAAAGACACCTGCTCACACAAAGTTGACAATCTAGAAAACTGTGGAACAATTCTACTGTTAGCTGTCACTATGAATTGCAA